GGGTGATGTTGAAGTAAGGAACAACGATGATCTTTAAAAGATTGAAGGATGTGGGGTTAAGAAAAAAGGAGTTTAAAATACATATGGAAATTTTGGATAAATTATTAATGAAAGAGTGGTTCCGTTGAGGGCGTATTACTACTTAAGGGGTAGATAAAATTTTGTAATTCTAGTATTGCAGATAATAGAATCTCAGGCCACGTTCCGATTGACTGAAATAATTAGATGAAAATAGTACCAAGCATCGTTTATTTACGGATTGCGTCTCTTCTTTAAAGAGGTTTCTTTTTTATTGGAGTCAAGGGTTGGTCAACTCTTGTCCCACGAGGCTAAACAATGTTAAGTAAACCAACTTAATGCGCCACATCAATTTTTGTTTATTTGGATAACCACGGTTAACAAGCAAGTGACCGATTTAATATAAATGATACTATTAGTGATCGTTTCGTTACTTTAAAATTTTCAAGGCTGAATAAAAAATTACTCATACTTCAATGTTCTGAATAAAATATTATGATCATTTATGTAGCTTACTTTTTTTTTTTTTTATAAACCTTGTTAGGTCATAACTCATTTTTCAAACTTTACGTAGCATGATTTATGATTATTGAAAATTCTTAGCATCAAAAGGAAGAAAAATATAAAAGATGAGAAATATGTAATTTTGAATTTTCTAGGCATTTCTTTTGGATAATTGGTTACTTATTATTAACAAATTCCATGCTCCGTTTGGCTTTTTAAATTTGTTTCTAGGTATTTCTTCTATTTTAGTATTTCTAGCTCATCATTTATGCAGATTTTGTGTTTTCTTGCGTGTCCTACGATGTTATGCTGGTGGAGGTTGTTTATTTAGTGGCGTTCTTTGGTAAAGTACTCTGGAATTGTGGTTTGTTAGATGCAAATTATTATATTTCAAATGGATTATGGTGTTATGCTGGTTGAGGTGGTTTATTTAGTGGTGTTCTTTACCCAAAGTATTTTTTGAAATTGCAGTTTGTTAGATGCAAACTAGAAAATCATTAGATTTCAAACGAATTCTATTGAAACAGACTTCTAATGTCTATGTGGATAGAACCAAATTGTACTAATTCGCTGGATGAACTGCAACATCTGATTTGACTCTGTTCATTTAGTTTCATGGTTGCTAAGTAGACTGCATACCTATGTTGATTTCTATAAACATCCAACCTATAAGTGAATTTCTTTAGCATTAAATATAACTGGTTAACCATCAACTATAAGGTTTCTAATTGTCCAAATCCAATTACCCTAGAATTGTAAATGTTGAGTGAGAAAGTAGGACAATAAAAGTGGGGAGTAGAGAGCAAAGAGTGAGAAGTAGGAACGGGAATCAAATCTTGTAAAAAGGTGTGAGGGAAAAAAAAAACTTGCATGGGAGGTTTCTCATTGCAGATTGAGCACAGTTGCCATACATATACCTACTAACAGCATGAATGCTATCAATGAGACAGCTTTAGCACACCCTGTGTTAAAAGACAATCATGATAAATGTGGTTTGGGGATAAAACAACAGCAAGTAAATAAAATTAGAGCTCAAAACAGGTAAGAAAGAAGGAACCTTTGAAGATCATAGGGTTATACCATCCCCTTGTGTGTGAAATCTATTAATTAAAAGAATAAGCTGGCATTAATTTTCAGCTTATTTATATTAGGTTAACAAGCAAAGCTTTAATGACTTATAATACTAGCCTAAAGTAACTTAAAAGATAACTTATAATCCTTGCCATCTTTCTATACATCTAAATTCTAAATAAAATTGAAAAAATAAAATAACATATGGTAGTAGGTTTTGTGCCGCTATAAGTTTTTAATAGAATTTGGGGGTACGTGAGTTGAGGAAAATGACACATGAGATGCAAAAGCATCTCTGGTCAAGTGCAGGCCCGGTCCTGACATTTTAAGGGTCCTAGGCCAGAAGGTGATGACAAGAAGACAAGTGGGGTCCATACCTAGATTTCTCCATAATTAAAATAGGGTCCCACTAAATTACTATATTTTCGAGTTTTTTAAATAAAAAATGATGTTTAAAAATATTTTTTAATTATTGGAGCCCACTAAATTACCATATTTTTAAGTATTTAAAATAAACAATATATTTAAAAATATTTTTAATTATTAAATTTAAAAATAATTTTAAAAATGGGCCCCTCCAAATTTGGGGCCCTAGGCGATCGCCCCCTGGCCTATGCCCAGGGCCGGTCCTGATGAGATGTACCTGTGAACTCTAGGGAAAGGCTAAGGAAAGAATTCCTTTACTAACTCTATACCTGCAGCCATGATCTAACAAAATTTCTGTGACATGCGAACCACATGGATGTAACACATACATGTCCACAAAACAAGTAGTTGGTAGCTGCTAGACATGGTGAAGAACATTTGTACCCGGTGGATCTACAAGTACTAAAATAAAGGGGTTTAGAAGTAGAAAGTTTGGTATGCATATTCTTTAGCAATTCTGAAAACTTCTCAACTATCCACTTCCTTCTAATTCTGAGATTTCTAAGAAAAATGTTATTTTATTTAAGTACGAAATATAACATGCTCTTATGGTCGGCATTTCTTGTTATCCTTGGTGGTTATCGATGAAGTTGATCTCATCTCAATTGAGCTCTAATTAGCTTTATGTCATGTTTGGTATTCCAGCAATGAGCATCTGATGCAAGCGAACTCCGTTGTTGCCCTTTTATGGTCTATTTCATTCTTTTGGGTCCCTTATTCTCATTTCAAGAATCTTTACCTGCCTTTTCACCAAAAGCAAAACACCATGTTGGTATCTTTATGGTCTCATGAATCTGAATTTTAGCAGAGTTCGACGAGTAAAGATGCATTGCACTCTTGATTCTTTGCCTTCACGGAAGACCGAACTTGTAGAATTCATCGTCATGTTTACTACCTCCTCCATGGTTTCCTTTTGTTTTTATAGAGAGGAGAATACATAATAATGATTTATCAAGTGATTCACTTTTTTTTTTTATTTAAGATTTTGCAACTTTCACGTTGAACTTTGGATCTTTAATAGCATCAGATGGAGCTTTTTGTTGAAAGATTATGATAATGACCATTTTTGTGACTTGAAAAATCTAGAAATTATCACATCAAATTAGATTGGATAAGTTGTGCATGTATCAGTGTGTTAATTTTGTTCCACTAATATTTTGAGATACAAATACTTTAACCCGAAAGACGTCTTTTATTTTATTTTGAGATAAAAATATTGGAAGATTGAATTAATAAATCTATTTGCATATCAAATAAGTCATTATTGTAATATATTGCTAACACCAAATTGCTGGATCCATATTTAAATCAGTACTTTTGTAATCCAAATCAAAGGGAGACATAAAAAATATTAAATTTTAGAGTTAGATTTTTGTTCCTTTGAGATCAAAGGCTCACCCACCAAAACAACAAAGAAGTGGTAGTGCTGCAATTTATTTGTTTAGAAACAACGGAAAGCTGCAGCACCAAACAAAGATGACTTTTCGCTTAAGGAGAGAGGAGCCTTTCTTTTCATTTTTGCCGGCCACTCTCTCTTATCCCCACAACCACCAGTCCACCACGTATTAATCTTAAATCATTTTAAATTCTCAACTCTCGTGGTTCACAGAATGTAAGATTACCAGTGAGAATAAAAGATTATCAGAGAATAATATTACTGGGAATATTATATTTTGTGTTTGGTTGATTTAACAGGAATGTAAGATTACCGTGCCTGATTAAAGGAATAAAAAATTATTAGAATGTATATTTGACCAAATTATCCTTATTATATATTTGTTTTTAACAATTTGAATTCTAATTTAATATTACTATAATTAATTTATATATTTTCTTTAAAAAATTTAAATTCATAAAATTTATATATTTTTTTGTAAAATTGAAAAGATAAATAAGTTTAATGAAATGGTAAAATTTTATTTTAACCCCTGAACTTCATATAAAATTTCAATTATATATTTTTTGTAAGTCTAAAATAGTTTAAGGATAAATTTATAATTTAACTTTCGTAGAATTTTTATTATTTAACGACATAATAATGATATTTTTGAAAAAAAATTTAAGGGTATTTTAGTCCAAAACGCCGTTAATCCAACAATACCTAAGGGAATGGGTAATCACATTCCAGGTAATATACCCCAAAAAATTCACTGTTGATAATAAAAGATTACCGGGAATGAGATTACCGGCCAACCAAACGTGGGAATGATGATTCTATTCCCCCGGTAATATAACATTCCTTGAACCAAAAGGGGCCTTAGGGGCGTTTGGTTCACGAATTTTTGCATTCTTGGGGGGAATATTTTTTCCTAGTTAAGATACCCAATTTTAGATGAATTACATTCCCAAATGAGGGTAAAAGCTTAATACCAACAATATTTGTTTGAGTATGTATTACTGGAAATATTATTGTTATGTTTGACTTAGGTATTTTTTTATTCCCGTGTTTAACGGCTAAAATATCCTTTCCTATCTTCTTCTCCCCGTGAGCTTGCCTCTATGAAGAATTTTTTTTATTTTCTCATACCGATTTCTCCTAATAAGATTTCTTCTCCACTCCCTTTCTTTTATTTTCCCAGTAATGTTACTTGGTTTCCATTTTCTGATATGCATATATTGGTCTCACTGTGTTGCAAGAATTCACATGAGCAACAAACTCAACCGCATCCGCGAGACGGTTCTTCACACTCTTGGTATCCTCCTTCGGTAGTTGGCTCCCCTAATTCTTCCCAGCTCGTGACTTTGATTAACAATGCTTCTAATAGCTTCAACTAACAGAGGCCTGCAGAGTGGTCGCATTCACCCTCACCTGTTTCACCTGCTGAAGCTGCTGGAGTCATCACTCTTTTAAAAGGACAAAAGGTGGGGGTCTGGTTCATGCGTTTCTATTAAAGCAATCTCCATTTTCCCTTAACAGCAGAACATTTCTCCCTCTCTCACTCTCACTATCACTCTCACACTGTCTCGAGCTATTGAGCCGTCTGATCTCTCTGTGCGTCGTCGTTTTACACAACCTTAAACACCGCCGATTACCCGCTGCAATCTCCGCCCTTTAGATTTATACCAATTTTCAATATCTTTAATGGCTGACGGAAAATTTGATCTACCTGATGATCTCTTACCCTCTAAAATCGGCCCTGACCACTCCTCCACAGGTATTTTTATTTTTTCCATTTAAGTTTTCATTTTTCCATTATTTATCCTCTCAATTTTACAATATGCGTATTCAGATCGTATTGGTGTACCATTTCAATTCAATAGCACATCTATGTGAAATTTTATTTTATTTTTCCAAAATTTTTCTTCATTTGAATTTTGGTAGTTTAATTTATTAATTGTAGATTTCTGATTTCGTTAATGAGTCACCTAAGATCTATTTTTTATAATTAATTAACTAAATGATTTTCTCAGTAAAAGAAGGGGAAAGAATTTCATGATTGCTTCTATGTAGAATTGTATCGGTTAGAATCTTTCATTTCAAATGCACTAGAGGTTGGAGAAAAGTTGGCATTCTTCATGGAAAAGAATCACTTTAGTTGCTTCTCATAGTTATTGGCAAATTTTAGTAAGATATGCTTTCCTTTAATTATGTGGTAAGATTATTCATAGTTCAGTCGCAAAGCATTTGATATTGTAGGGACTCCATGAAAACACACTTGAAACATGAGGATAGACAGTTTCTACCATTTTCATCTCCGTGTTATCTTAGTTTCTGTTATTGTTAAGTGAAGGTTGGGATGGGAACTTAGAGGAGAAAGGACTCACGGGGTTTGGATGACACCAGATGTAATAAATTTTGCCTTAGGTCGAAATTTTGCATTTTTTAAAATCATATGCAACTCCTTTCTTGCAAATGTTTTACTCATTTTTTGTTTGTGCTCAATAGTAAACCAACTTCCAAAAGCAGCATACCTCTGTCACCACAATGGCTTTTCTCTAAAGTGGCTAATCCTAAGATGTTACCTTATGGAGTATTTGCGGTATGCACCTTTCATTTCTCTCTAGAAATGTTTTTAGGGTGCTGGTATCTTAACCAGGAAAAAAAATATTCCCCCAGGAATGCAAAAATCCGTGAACCAAACGCCTCCTAAGAATGTTTCTCGAATCCTAATTACTTTCCTATTTTCTTAGTGTTGATAAGTTATGGAAGCTTTTGTCTGATAATGACGCATACAATCAGTTCTTACAATCAGTTGACCATGTTAAAATTCAGAACAATATAAGTATAAAAATCGCCTTGATTTATTCGGTCTCTTTCAAAGTAATGAATTTCCATCTTGTTTTTCCTGTTGCACCATGTGGTATGTTCTTGTTTTGTTCTCTGGTCTCAAAGATTCTGATGGTTTGGGTTTTATGCCATAGCATAACAAGAGGTATTGAATAACCAGTGAATTTGGTGAGATTGGTTGTCTGTTAATATCGAAATGTTTAGGATACTGCCTATTCAGATTGTTAATTGATATTGCTATTTTTGATGTGCTGTTGATATCATTTCATGTGTCTGAATATTGGTTATGAAGATAAGCCATTATCGGTAGCCCGCATGTGCATACTGGTGAGGAAATAGGGTTTGATAAAGTTTTGATGTTTCAGAATTTAGTGTATTACATTCTTGTTTAAAACAATAAAGGAATACTTAACTCGTAACACTGAGCCGAAGAGGATATCGTGGTTATATTGGTCTCGGGGGATAGTCTAATGTTTAAACATAATTAGCGATCAAACATATAGTTTTTAGATGTGAAATCTACTGGCCAAAATCACGTGATAGTGAGAGAAGCTCCAGCTTCTCTCTAACCTAGGTGTTTCAAATTTCAAATTTCCACGAGCCCAGACGCTTTTGATTATTATTCTCTTCTCCGGTACCAGTTGTCAGCCGCCGCACGCCGCCGCTGTCAGCCGTCCGCAGCCACACTCCGACCACCGTTTGACGCCGATTTTTTCCTGTGAAGATCGCCGGTTATCTGTGATATCAAATCTGGCCTTAGATTTGCATTTGAGACTTTCAATCAACGCAGATCTTTAAGAAGCCCACTGCCATTTTTAGCCGCTTTCCGCCGCCTGTGCACACCATCGTTTCTCCACCAGAATCAGCGTCGTCTTGCGTCCAGAACCCTCCTACCCTGTGTCGAGAATCGTTTTATATTATCCTTTATTTTCCAGAAATCTGGTTCGGCAAGGAAAAACCCTTTCCTCAAACTTTCTGTTCATTTCCAGATTTCTCCATGGAGCCCCAACCCCCGTCTCAGCCCAGGCGAACTAGAGATGCATCAGGAGTGGCAGGTGAAACTTCTGGGAGCAACAGCAGAAATGGTTTCTCCTACTACGGTAAGGAAAATCGTGGGAGGGAAATTGAAAAGGAGAGGACTAAGCTTCTGAAACGGAACAGGCGTGCTTTCACCAGACGTTTGTTGGCCGGTTTGAGGCAATATGGTGATTTCTCTCTTCCCGTGCGTTCTGATATGAACGCTGTTCTGGCAGCCTTGGCCCGGGAGGCTGGTTGGACAGTTGAGTCCGACGACACTACCTACAGGCACTGTCCTTCCCGCCATAATCAGCAAAACTTAAGAGAAATTTCTGCGAGGTCGGGTGAACGTCCTCTATCAACCAATTCCTTGGAAAAATGCGTTGTTAAAGAAACATTACACTGTCAACCTCCTGTGGTTAGGATTGATGACAATGGTATGTCTCCTTCGCAAGATGGGAATTATAGGATGGAGAAGCTTTCTTTAGTGGAGGCAACACCCGTTCTTTCTGCTGCTGAAGTGGATCACCATGGAATCAAGAAGGGGTATTCCAACAAAAAATCTTCTGAAGTAGCGAGACGGAGAAGAAGCGGATTTCATAACAGGCAGAATGAAGGTCATATAAACGGTAGGAATGGGTATAGTAATGGATGCGTCTCGTTATTCATTGAGAACCTTCCGAAGAAGATCCATTGGAAGAGACTTGAATATATATTTGGTACACACGGTCGAGTTATGGATGCCTTCATTCCTAAAAAAAGGAATTTGAATGGGGTTCGCTTTGGTTTGTTCGCTATGCTACAATTGAAGAAGCAAGGAGAGCGATCTCAAATATGAATGGCTCTCGTATAGACGGTAGCAAAATTGGTGTTTCTTTCGTTAAATTCAAACCTCGACATTCCTATTGGAGGAAGTCCTCGACAAGTGTTCTTCGCAAGTCCGGGTTGGAAGATGATTCGAGGAAGAATCTTTATAAAGTTGAAGGTGTTATAGATAAAGAAAAACTTCAGGTGTTGAGTAATTGTCTAGTGGGGTGGTGCAAGGACTTTGTCAAAATTGGTCATCTCGCTAGACAAATGCAAGTGAAGGGCCTCACTGGCTTCACCTTAATGAGAGCTGCTGGTAATGTGATTTTAATGATTTTTGAAGACAATGCTTCATTAAGAAGTGTGGAGAATGATAAATCAAAGATTCTCGCAGAGTGGTTCTCCATAGTCGAAGCTTGGTCAGAAAGTTTGGTAATGGAGTGTCGTCGAGTATGGTTAATTTGCGAGGGTGTTCCTTTTCACGCATGGAATTGGGATACTTTCAAGAACATTGCTAAGAAGTGGGGTTTACTACTAGCTATCGACAAAAGTTGTCATTCTCCATCAACCTTTGATAGGGCAAAAATTCAAGTCCTCACAAAGGTTGATTCGAGAATTGATGCGTTGGTGGAATTGAAGGTTGGTGACAACTTCTTCAAGGTCATGGTGCATGAGATAGAGCCTTCATTCAAACCAAACACTTGGGCTCCTGAAGAAGACGAGTCTCATTGATCTTGTCTCTTCAATTGTGGTTTTGTTTTAGTCTTTACGGTTGTAGGTGTTGCTTTTAATTTGTATCATGTTATGTTGCGATGTTTTATTCGTTAACATACTTTTAGTATGTGAATGAATACGAAGGGAGTTTTTAATGAGACCTCCAACTTCTATAAAAAAACATATAGTTTTTAGCCTGTTAAATTCCATTTGCCTGATCTTTAAGGTTCCCCTTGTTTCATTTGTTTATCGTGTTTTTTGATCGGTACATGGATCTCCGCTAACTAGGGCCTTGCTCCGTCTTATATTTGTTGTTCCTTGTTGGTATCATGATGGGGTTGCACTTTAGCTATGTTTTAGAACCATTTATTCGAACTATAACATGCATGCGATGAGAAAACCGTGTTTTCTTTTACTTTGTATTTCATCATTTTGTCAATTTCTTACCTGAACGGAATTAACTTTTTACTAGATAAGATATGAACTTCGCAAGGAGACTCTGTAGCTTGCCAATGAGTTCTTATTCAGCTATTTGTATGAATCCCCTAGAGAAGTTTGTGTTTTGTAGGATTGTTTTATTAACTACAGCCTCGGCGATGAGAAAACGAGGGTATAGAACACACAAGCAAACAATTTAACGTTTGATTACAAGGATTCCTTCAGCCTGACCTTCTATAATAGCTATAAGCCACGGCAACGGTTGGAACAGTTCCGATCACAGCGGCTGCCGTAAGAACGTCACACTGCTCCCATGATTCTATCCAGCTTGTCAGTTCGCACGTCACGGTCTTTTCGGGCAAGTCTCTCGGTTCTTTATTTCTCTTTTTGTCACTTGGTTCTGAGCTAGCAGTCATGCAACAGGTGAATCCATTAGCACCCTGACAACAACCACCCGAATTTTACGTTGTGTTCTGAGCAGTCGTTTCTTCGTGCTTCTCGTTTTTCTTCGCTTCGGTCCCATTCGGAAGCTTCGGTTCGCCTCCTTCGGTAGAAGCCCCCATTTGACCCCTGCAGATGTTGACATAGAAAGGAGTAACAGAAAGCTTAATAGGGAATAAGCAATGCATCACACAGTAGACATGGGGCTTCCTACTAGCAAAGCACAAAGTCAAAAAGTTAGTATCATCTTACATTTTGGTAGGAGTAAAATGGTTTATCTATTAAAATTTTCATATACTTATTTAGTTAAATGTTGTAAAATTTTAATATATTTTTAGATAAATAATGTAAAAATTAATATTATTTATAATTACAATAATACATGATATATTTATTCTTTTATTCTACCCATTTATCTTTTAAATTTTATAAAAAATTTATATATAAATTTTATTAAAAAACATATAATTTTAAAATAATAAAGTAATATATTTTCGATGATTTTTTATATAAATATTTTCATTTAAATATTTAGAATTCCACTTGTTAACACTTATAGAACAAGGACAATTTGGTAAAATATACGTTTCAGTAATCTCATATTCCTTCAACCAAACACTGTAATCTTACATTCATGTCAAACAAATCAAACACAGTAACATTCCCGGAATGTATCAGGTAATGTTACATTCCTGGTAATCTTATTCCTAATGCTACATTCCATGCAAATTCCTAGTACTTTCCATCTAATTTTTATTTTATGGGTAAATTACAAATTTCATCACTTAACTTTATACTCTCTCTTATTTTACTCAATGAACTTCAAAAGTTTCCAATTTGCTCACTGAACTTAATACATTGGATTTTTTGTCACTCCATCGTTAAATAGTTAACGGCGTTAAAATGATGCCGTTTTAATAAACAAAATTTTCACCAAAACGACGTTATTTTACATCTATATAAAACTCATTTATAACGTCATTAGTGAGAAAACGATTGAGTGACAAAAAATGCAATGTATTAAGTTTAATGAAGAAATTGAAAAGATTTAAAGTATAATGAGTGAAATAGGAGAGAAAGTGAACTTCAACTATTGAATTTGAAATTGACCCTTATTTTATGTGTAATTTATTTTATCTTATTATTAAAAATAAATTTATAAAATAAGGTACTTTCTGTTTAAAATACAACTCTCAAGATCAATAAAGTTGCACATGGCATTGCCAAATCATGTGAACAGAAACCCTTAGGGTTACAAGTGTTTCACTGGCCAACTCCAGAAATACAAATGGCATTACAACAAGGCAATGATATCGAACACGACACAGTGAACCAGAACCAGACATAACTTAAGTTTGCTTTTACTTTTCTACCAAAAAAAAAAAAAACTCTAAATTATTTAATATTCAACATTCATTCCCTTAAAAATCATAGTGTTTGAACTCGAGATTTCAAAAAATAAAAATTTTTTTATCACCAATGTTAATTAGTCCGTACTAACATAATCAAACATTAAATGACAAAAGATTAAGGGTCCAATTAAAATATTCAATAACTAATGTTTAACCATGTTTATCGTTCCATCCTTGTTTGATCAAACATGTGTAGGGGTGTTTGAAAGGTTAAAACGGCTGCCGACCGAACTGAATTACCATTGATCGAATTAACTGAATTTTTTTCTTTAATCGTTTATCGTACTGAATTTTTAAAAAAAATATTAACCGAACCGAATAATGTTTGATTATTTCCATCGGTTAACCGAATTAACCTGTAGTATCATTTTTCAATCGTTATTTTAATGTATTATTATTATTATAAAATATTATTATTATTATTATTATAAATTATTATTATTATTATTAAAGATTTCATATTAATTCAAAAATTAAAATATAATTACTACATTGTTATGAAATGTAATTTATAAATACATATAATCAAATAAAACTTAATTTGTTAATATATGTTAGCTCAATTGGTTGAGTACTCGTTATTATCTTAACGAAAACTAAGATTTGAATTTTATCAATCGCTCTATTTAATTTTACATAAAACAAAATAAAATTTATTTTTAAATGAATCTGAATCTATAAATCAATCTAAAATTTGGAATCTATTTTTGTTAATGAAAAATCAAATATCAAATTAATATTAAAAAAAGTGACAACTTACAAGAATGTGTCAAAGTGGGTTTGGGGGGGGGGGTAAGTGAGAGTTTACGCCTTTTTAATTTGGTTTATTGGCTTTGTGATTCAAGCTGAACCATAGGAGCATCAGTTACGGTAGTTGAACAAAATGTGAGTGCAATGTAGAAGGGTTGGATTCTTTAAAAAAAAATTATATTGATAAATAATAATAATAAAACATGCCAAATGTATTTAGATTTGAATAAAAACAAGGATGATTTCTGCCGGTCCTATTGTTTCATCCTCTGCATTCTAAACAGAGACCGTTTCTTTAATCCGTCGAGTTGTTTTTCCCAAACATTTCTGGGAAATCTCGATTCTCTATCCTCCTCCTCCTCCATAAACCCTAAACCCAGCTCACAGTCATACATTTCACGAGAAACCGGATCCGAAAGTGTCTCGTAAGCCATCTGGAGCTCAAGAAATCGCTTCGTGGATTCCTCTTTGGCAGAGGGAGGGCAAACATCTGGGTGATACCGAAGCACCATTCTCCGGTAAGCTTTTTTTATGTCAGATAAGCACACGTTCTCGGCATAAGCAAGAGACAGAACTTCATAAAAATTGGCCTTTCCTCTCTGCATGGCTAAATTACCGGCCCTGCATGATATACCGGCCCTGTAATTATTCTTGGTATTATGATTGTAAGGCTTTTGGTTGAACCCCGGCTTTGTTGCTGTTGAAACCATTTGCATGGAAGTGATGTCCATACCAAATGTGCGTTGGAGAAGATGCTTCAAAGGAAGAGTTTAAGGGTTGATTGAGGGAGGAGGAGGCGATTTATTTATATAGAAACACGTTTGGTTTACGGTGTGGTGAAATAGATGAGAAAACGGGGTTGGATGCAGTATTGGCAGTAGTTAGCCGTCCTTGGCTTTGTTAATTCGACTCTGCTGCTACTTTGATGGCTGTTTTCTACGGCGGCTGCATCCAAATTTCAAGCCTATTTTATTGAGCATGCACGCCAAATATGGTTTTCTAATAGTCGTCAAATTTTCATTATAAAAAAATTCATAACGATAAGGAATTGCTATTAGTGTAAAGTCAAAAGGTGGGGGCACCGCCTAATTCAACAAAAGGGAGAGGTTTTTCAACAAGGGGCACCGATTTTTTATTAAAAATATAATAGGGTTAATTACATTTTAGTCCTTATATACTTTAGGATATTTACAAGATTAGTCCATAAGCTTCAACTGTAAATATCCTAACTCATTTAGTTTCAAAATCATCCCAAATCATTTCTTTCTCCCAATACTAGAGAGTTTTCTTGTGAGTAGTGAGTGTTTTGTAAATACTTGTAATTTTTCTCTTTTTAGTAAAAGATCTGCAGCAGTCCGGAGACGTAGGTATAATTGGCTGAACTCCGTTATCAATTTCGGGTATTATTTTTCTCTTTTATTCTGCATTCTCACTAATCTGGTTATAGGGAAATTACTCATACTCGTTTTTTTTCCCAACAACTGTCATCAGAGCTTTTGGTTGTGAATTTTATCAATTTTTTTGCAAGGTTACTATTCATTACTAATCACGTGAATAATGAATTTCGTAAATAGTAAAATTTTGTCGGCGATACGAATTTGTCGACGGAGGTGTTCTAATACGCGGTGGTTCGCAAGAATTGTCAGAAACGATCTAAACGAAGCCAGATTCGAGTGGGAGCGATGGTTGCAGACGAAGGGAATGTGAAAATTGAAAAGTTCGATGGTGCGGACTTTGGATTTTGGAAGATGTAAATTGAAGATTTTATGTACCAGAAAAATCTATATCAACCTCTCTCAGGAAAACAACCAGATGGTATGAAGAATGAAGACTCGACTCTTCTCGACAGACAAGCCCTCGAAGTTATCCGATTGACGTTATCCCGCGATGTTTCTTTTAACATAGCAAAGGAAAATACCACAGCGGGTCTTATGGCATCTCTCTATAGTATGTATGAGAAGCTATCGGCCTCATACAAAGTTCACTTGATGAGGCGATTATTCAAATTGCGGATGGCGGAAAGTACATCAGTGACTCAACACCTGAATGAATTCAACACAATCACAACCCAGTTGAGTTCCGTGGAAATTGAATTCGATGATGAAGTTCAAGCTTTAATTCTCTTATTATCTCTACCAGATAGTTGGAATGCTACTGTTACAACAGTTAGCAGCTCATCGGGAAACAGTAAATTGAAATTCGAGGATGTTCAAGATCTGGTATTGAGCGAAGAAATTTGATGGAGAGAATCGGGTGAAGCATCAACCTTCTCAGCCTTGCACACGGAGTCTAGAGTGAGAACTTCATAAAAAAATTCAAATCGTGGCAGATCCAAATCCAGAATGGGAAAATCAAGAACGGGAAAGAAAGATTATAATTGTTATAATTGTGGCAATAATGGTCACTTTAAAAGAGATTGCCGAGCACCGAAGAAAGATACCGGCATACAGGAATCTGTAAATATGACAGAAGAGACATGTGATGCCATGATTCTAAGCATCAATAGTCTAATTGAATCATGGATCTTGGATTCAGGGGCATATTTCCACTCCACCCCATGCCAAGAAATCATGGATAACTATGTCAGTGGTTATTTTGAGAAGGTTCATCTAGTTGATGATGAAACCTTGAAGAACGTCAGAAAAAGAGACATTTGATTAAAGTTGCCAAACCAGACCACCTGAACGTTGAAAGGAGTGAGACATATTACTGGCCACAAAAGAAATTTAATTTCTGTAGGACAGCTTGATGGAGAAGGATATAGTACAACCTTTTCAGGCTGTGAATGGAAGATTACCAAAAGAGCACTCGTCATTGCTCGTGGTAAGAAGACTGATACTCTCTATGTAACCTCAAATTTAGAGAATATCATTACAGTAGCAGATGCTGATGGAAAATCAAACCGATGACACCAAAGGCTTGGCCAATGAGGGAGAAATAGATAAAGACACTTTTATCAAAAGGGAAGCTGCCGGATCTAAAGAATATAGATTTCGGACTATGTGAGGATTGCATCTTTGGCAAACAAAAGAAAGTCAGTTTTGCAAAGATTGGCAAGACACCCAAGTCTGAAAAGTTAGAGTTTGTTCATACTGATGTATGGGATCATCTCTAGTTCCATCTCTTGCAGGCTCACTATATTATGTCACCTTCATCGATGATTCTACAATGAAGGTGTGGGTTTATTTTCTGAAGAAGAAATCAGAAGTCTTTGATACCTTCAGAAAATGGAAGACCATGGTGGAAAATGAGACTGGTTTGAAAGTCAAGCGGTTGAGGTCTGACAATGGAGGAGAGTATAAAAATAGTAGATTCAGAGATTTTTACGCAAATAATGGGATCAAGATGGAGACAACAGTTCCGATGACACCGTAACATAATGGCATAGCGGAGCGCATGAACAAAACTTTGAATGAATGTGCCAGAAGTATGAGGATACATGCTGACTTGCCCAAATTTCTATGGCCTGAAGCTATCAACACTGCAACTTACCTGATCAACTGTGGGCCCTCAGTTCCCTTGGATGGTGGAATACCAAAGGAAGTTTGGAGGAGAAAAGAAACAAACATTTCATACTTAATAGTGTTTGGTTGTATTTCTTATGTACACATAAATTCTGCTAAAAGAAGTAAACTTGATGCCAAGTCCAACAAATGTGTTTTTGTTGGTTATGGTGGTGATGAGTTCGGTTACTGGTTTTGGGACTACGAAAATCGAAAGATCATCAGAAGTAGAGATTTCATTTTCAATGAGAATGTGATGTACAAAGACATGTCAACCATAGAATCAAGTAGCTCCAATACCGAAGCTAAAACAAAGAAATTTGCTGAGTTTGAGGAGATTTATGAAATGATGTTCAAATCAGTCCTGAAGCAGTTCAAGAAGAACCAGGCACACCAGAACTAAGACGTTCTTCCAGAATTCCTAAATCGACCCAGCGTTATTCGCCTTCTTTGCACTACTTGTTGCTGACTGACAATGGTGAACCAGAGTGCTATGATGAAGCAATGCAGGTAGACGATTCGATCAAGTGGGAGTCTTCCATGAAAGATAAGATGAACTCGCTTATGTCAAATCAAACGTGGGAATTAGCTGAATTATCACTAGACAAGAAAGCGCTTCATAACAAGTGGATTTACAGGATCAAAGAAGAGCACAATGGGAGCAAACGCTACAAAGCAAGATTGGTTGTCAAAGGTTTTCAGCAAAAAGAAGGTATTGACTACAATGAAATTTTCTCTTCAATCGTGAAACTGTCTACAATCATACTGGTGTTGAAAATTGTAGCTGCAGAGAATCTACATCTTGAGCAGTTAGATGTAAAGATAGATTTCCCTCGTGGTGATTTGGAAAAATAAATCTATATGAGGCAGCCAGAAGGTTTCATAGAGGCAGGAAAGAAAAACCTGGTATGCAGGTTGAAGAAGAGCTTGTATGGTTTAAAACAAGCTCCTAGACAGTGGTACAAGAAGTTCGATAGCTTCATGAGTAGTAGTGTTTTTACCAGATGCCAAGCAGATCATTGTTGCTACATCAAGAAGTTCGACAGCAGCTTTATTATTTTATTGTTGTACGTTGATGACATGCTCGTTGTAGGCTCAGACATGCAAGAGATTATAAACTTGAAGCAAAAATTGTCGAAGCAGTTTACAATGAAAGATCCGGGCACTACAAAGCAAATTCTTGGGATGAGGATTAAGAGATACACAAAGTCGGGGACTTTGATGTTATCATAGGTTGAGTACATCAACAAAGTACTCTCCAGGTTCAATATGCAAGATGCTAAACCAGTAAGTACACCTTTAGGTGTTCATTTTAGACTCTCCAAAGAACAGTCACCAAAGACGGAGGAAGAACACACATGGTGAAGGTGTCATATGCCTCAGCAATTGGAAGTATGATGTATGACATGGTTTGTACTAGACCAGATATTGCTCATGCAGTGGAAGTTGTTAGCAGGTACATGAATAATCCGGGCAAGGTACACTGGGAAGCAGTCAAATGGATCCTCAGATATTTGCGGGGTACCATAAACAAAGCACTTTGTTTCAAAGGTGGAGATACGATACTAATAGGCTACGTAGATGCTGACTTAGCCGGAAATGTTGACATCAAAAGAAGTACTAGAGGGTATGTTTATACTCTAGGAGGTACCGCAGTGAGTTGGGTTTCTCAACTACAGAAGATAGTTGTTTTCTCTATAACTGAAGCAGAATATATCGCTGTTATGGAAGCCAGCAAGGAGATGGTTTGGCTCTAAAGTTTCTTGGAAGAGTTAGGCAAGAAACAAGAAAACAATGTCTTGTATTGCGATAGTCAAAGTGTTATCCATCTAGCGAAGAATCAATCTTTTCATTTCAGAAGGAAGCACTTACAATTGCGATATCATTTTATCCGGTCTCTTCTGGAAGATGAGATTTTGAAACTTGAAAAGATTATTGGAGCTCAAAATCCGGCAGACATGTTGACAAAGACGGTGACTACGGAAAAACTGAAGTTGTGTTCAGCTTCAGTTGACATGCTAGAGTAACAAGACCAGAAATATTGTTGCATTGATCGATGTGTGAAGACAAATTAAAATCAGTCTTCAAGTGGGAGATTGTAAAGTCAAAAGGTGGGGGAAACTGCTTAATTCAACAAAAGGGAGAGATTTTTCAACACCAATTTTTTATTAAAAATGTAATAGGGTTAATTATATTTTAGTCCTTACACACTTTAGGGTATTTACAAG